AGTGGTAAAAACCGACCTCCTGTTTACTCTGATACATGCAACTGGAACCCCCATAGGAAATTACCTGGCTAATGCTTAATTACGTTCAGGGGAATTTGAAAAAACAGAAATGTCAACCAAACATTGCCTAAAAATAATTACTATTCTGCAGTAGGTTAAATTGTGTAGCCAAAACCAAGGGAAGCATCGAAGCCCCTATCATGTAATTTTTTTGTTTAGGGAGATTTTCTTTGGACCCCTGTCTCAGAGACACAACAGGAAAGGTCTCATGACAATTCATAAGTTAAGTACTTTCTATGTGACAATGGTGACCAGGACAAATGGAGGAGAGAATCTAATCATCGGACACACACACACCTCATCAACTGGTCAATGTGTTGCATTCGTTTAGAAAATGATTGCTAGACTAAGGCCGGGTTCACACCTGTATGTTTTGTAGTGCGTTCAACGCTCTGTGAACGCTCTACAAAACGCTCAAACATGAAAATCCCATTGTTTTCTATGGGTATGGTTCACACCTTGCCGTATTTCAGCCCGTATGAATGCGCTACAAAACGGCCTACGCCTGAAAAGGTACATGAGCTTCTTTGCGGCGTTTTTGTCGCGCATTTCCATTGGGATACAGCCATGTAGCCCTCGGAAACGCGTGAATCGCGGTAAAAACGCGTGTCACGAAACGCGCGACAAACGCGCATATTCGATACGCCTAGGTGTGAACAGAGCCTTAGTGATTTTAGGGTTGTTGAGCTTGTAAAAATCAAGTGGGTGCTTTGGTTACAAAGGGTAATGTTCGATTGTTACATGGATGGAACAAATTGGTCCACAATGTGTGAGATGAGCATGTTGCACAATCAATGTAGCATGTAATCACACAATGCTCCAAATGTGTGTGATTAATGGCTACTACATGCTAAATGTGAGTGATCTCCACTAAAGGTTGTTATCGATCTTAGTAGCAGGACTTGGCTCCTAAAATTACACAGGTTCTTCCACATCAGGAGAGAAGTACTGCACTTCAATGCATTTTATCTAAATTGATGGATAGTAATTAGACTTTGTTTACTCTCATCATGACCATACTAGCCTCTTATTGCCTCCTGTATTTTACATAAGTATATATATCTATATAGATCTATATATATATATATATAGATCTATATAGATATATATATTGCAGCCTGTGTAAATCTCAGTCGTCAGTTTCCTAATCCCAGTGTTTGCACTTTCAGCCGACCTGCGGTATTGTGCTACAAACTGATAATCACATGATAAGGATATACCGTATGTACTTGAATCAACACAGTTGCAATGGGATCCAGAATGTCCCCAATATCACCTACTGCTTTAATGGTTCACTGAACTCTATAAACAGTACTCCGGCAGTGTTCCCTGAGCACAGGGCAAAGCTTTGGAATAAGATATGTTCTAGCTTAGATGCTTTGCAGTGCACTTGTCACATAGTGAATCAGAGCCATACACTGTTAGAGCACTGTCGATAGGGTTTAACAAACCTTAAAACGATGATCTCTTATAATGCCTTTATCCCTCAATATCTACACACACATTATTGTATGTTTGCTAAAAGCAGATAGCAAATGCCTATGGGGGGTCATGGATACCTGCCTTAAAGATACAATTAATGGTGGCCATAGACAGCAAGAGCTCACTTAGAATAATTGGTGGTAAAACATCTGCAGTCTTCTTCCCAGCAGTGGCAGATCCGGGGGGGGGAAGACATTGGGGCAATTGCCCCCTACCCACCCCCAGGAATTAGCTGCTCCCCCTCCGCCGCTTTGCTGGACCGGTGCTCTGTAACTTGTCTGGAGCTCCGGCATTATGTTATAAAACCAGCCGCGCTGACCAATCATGGCCGGAAAGCAGAGGGCTGCTGGTCTAGCTTAAAAAATACTATTTTATTTTATACTAAGAAGTAAATAGGTGACTTGCCAGTCCAACAGCACAGGGGCAGCTTTGTCACCCACTAACATAAACACATGATATGCAATCTGGAAATCTAACAGCACTGCGGACAGATGCCAAAGACCTCCATGTACATAAGTGAGAAGCGAGCTGTGGGGTGCACATCAGCTATCTCATACTCTTTTCAGCACACCTTTACTGTGGTTTGATGTTTTGTCTCCAACCACGTTATAGCATAAAACTCTACTTTAGGACTGGTTCATAAAACCAGAAGAATGGTGGGTGGGTATACGCCTATGACAATGAATTGACAAGGTAAACAAGGTTTAAGCTAGCAATCTGGCAACCATGGTGTATGGTCAAAGGACCCCCTTAGCACTCAGCACTGTCGGTCAGTCGGTCGATCTGGTAGCCCCTATGTTAATGCGGCCCTGGCTGCACCCTAGACGGCTGCCTAGTTTGCCTAGTGGCAGCGCCGGCCCTGATTCTAGACTAGTTTTATGTGCCATGGACAAATGATGTCCATGGCACTCAACCAGCTTTCTTACAGGTCTGTTTACCAACTATTACAATTCATTTTCACCATCAGATGTTAATAAACTGTATTATTGGACCCCAATCCCTCTGTCCCTCTTTTCTCCTTGGTTGTCCCTCTTTTTGGTCTGATGTACGGATCTATGACTAAGTACTTTTTAACTACTAACACTAAAACCTTTATATTACCTCTCAATTATCTAATTTGCTGTTCTGAAAAGCCAGTGTAAAGGAAAATTAATGGTGGAAAACAAAAGTTCTGGGTTTTATCAATAATTTGTGGCATATAAATTCTAAAAGCAGAACTCCAGGCTAATCAAATCTTATCCCTTGCAGTGGAGTCCCTTGCAGTGGGCCCCCCCCCCCCCCCCCCTGAAAGTGTTAACTGGTTTTGTATAGGGAGATAAAATAACAGAGTTATACTCACCCAAACCACAATCCTTGCTTGTTCCTAGACCGGTCCCTTCAACCTTGCTCCCCCTTCGTTCCAGAGGTCTAAGGTCCTGTGAGTCATCACGTTCTAAACAGTGCATAGAACATGATGACGTCGAGGGACATACTGTCACTGGAGTGGAGAAGGAGACAGGCTGGAGGGAGCAGTGTAGGAGCCTGCTGGGATTTAAGTTCAGGTGAGTATAACTTTGTTATTTTAGCTCCCTTGACAAAACGAGCACATAACCCTTGCAGTGGAGGGGAGGGGGTAGCCCCACTGCAAGGGTCAAGATTTGATTTGCCCAGAATTCTGCTTTAATGATTTGCATAACTGGGGCCATGGCAGGAGTGTGTCCATTTCCTATATATAATGTGCTGGAAGGTGTCTCTCTTTCTCATCTCAGAAAGTTGGGCGGTATGTTTTTGGAGCACATTACCAAATATTTCTGAGGACCATAAGAGTTTCCACCAAAATACTTTTTTGGTGAAAATTGTTCCTCGTTGTCTTGTGAAATGGCTCTATGTTATTTGTATTTCATCAAGAAGACTGCAAGAACATTGGATACAGCAGAATATTCAATAGTGCTGCATGACAACCAATCAGTATCCATCTTTTACTGCTCTGCTCTACCGGTTCCATTCTGATAGGCTACTAGGCTAGCCATGACGAGGCACTTAGAAGAACTCTTTTTGAATAGAGCCAACTGTGTATTTTAATGTGGAAATCTATTATAGGAATTAATAGTAGCAAAGCATTTCATGAAATCAGCTAGTCTGTTTACATCTAAAGATGGCACGTTAATAGATAGACCATAAAATACACCCAAATCATTTTAGATAAATGAACAAAACCAATCACAAGTGTCACAGGTACCCTTAATGTGGGAATGTTCACAGTGCCATCTGCTAGTCTGTAGAGTCTTTGGAATGAATCTCATCACCTTCCATTTTAGTTGTCAAGATCTTGTGTATAACGGGGGAGCTCTATTGCTATATGTACTAATATATTTTACAAAGCACAGGAAAGCAAGTGTTAATACATATGAAAGATATACATTCCCCTTGTGTATGCTGATTGCTGGTGACCCCACTTCTCCCAGAATTGCCCCCCAGTTCCTGTGCAGTCAAAATTCTGTAGACACTCCTAATACATACATAGGAGGCACTATTCAATGATACAATTCATAATTTATCTGGCACATTCTTATCGAAATTACAAATGACCGCTGATGAAAATGTTGCAGTGTTTTGCTTTTCTCATATACTGTAATATTTTGGCAACATGAAGTTATTTTGATAGAATGTAAACATAAAGATTCTGCTTTGTCCAGATGAGACCATTTGTGACATTTGGCTTTGATGGACAGTGACATGGCCCCATGATTCATCACCCAATGATGTCCCGTGTACATGATGTGTGATGACAGAGAGATTTACAGACAGGTAGATGGTGGGATGAAATGCCATGTGCTACGGCTGGTGGGAAATGCTTTATTATATAACTGTTTGATGACTGCTGAGACTCCGGCCTTTCCGGCGTCTTTATATCATACTAAACAATTTCAAATGCTGCCTTCAAAAATGACCCTTGTGTTCTCTGTTCTACTCCATGTTTATAGGATCATTAACTTACATTTACTGCTGGAGAAATGTCTGCTGTGCATGTGTGTCTTTATGAAGCAGTTACTCATCGGCAGTCAGTATTCACCAATCATCTGTCTTTCAGGATAGATAGATATATATAGATAGATAGATAGATAGATAGATAGATAGATATGGCTGCATGTCACTCTCCAGGGTCCTCAGACATATAATCATATGCTCCCTACATATATGATTGTATGTACTATGATACTCACCAGGCTCATGGTCCACCCCCCACCCCCTAACCTATATATCATGGTATGTACTACCACACTCACCAGGCTCATGTTCCCCACACATGTGATCATATGTCCTACCACGCTCATCAGGCTCATGCTCTTCAGACATGTGATCCTATGTACGATGATACTCACCATGTACATGCCCCCCACACATATGATCCTATGTACTACAACACTCACCAGGCTCATGCCCTCCACACATATGATCCTATGTACTACTACACTCACCAGGCTCATGCTCTCCAGGCTTGTCGGAGATCTCTATGACCAGCAGTTCCCGGCCCTCGAAGCTCCGTCCCACCGTGTAGATCCTGCTGATGGACGGACATTGCAGCCACACGGCCACCAGCGCTTCTCTCAGCTCGGGGTAGCGGTGATACTCGAAGGAGATGCCGCCGGGTTCCCGGCTCAGCCGGCGCCTCCTTCCCGCAGCCTCGGAGGATGAGCAGCATCCGATGAGGAGGATGAGGAGCCCGCAGGCGGCCAGCCATAGAGAGCCGTGTGTGTGCAGCATCATCCCGACACCTGTGTGATCACTGTTATATGGAGGAGATCCTCTACCATCACCTGACACTCTCCTATATCCGTCCTGCGGCTTCCCTTTGTTTCCTTATCTCTGTCTGCTGATGTGTTTTCCAGCAGCCTCTCCTCCTCCTCCTCCCTCCTCCATCCTCCTCCTCTCCCCTTCCCAGCCTGCAGGGATACAGATGTCAGTGTGGAGGATCAGCTGAGAGATAAAACGAGGACATGATCAGTACGGGAAGCTCAGCTGTCACTACATTGCCTTATTGTCAATGGTCGGGGCACACAGACATTATGGAGCAGAGATAACCCTTCTATAGAGAACGGATAT